AAACTCCTCCAGAAATAGCTGAGAAAACTGATCCCAAGTCAAAGCTGGTGACCCAACTGGTCTAGCCAAACAATAATCTCTCCACCAAGTCTTGGCGGATCTAGACAAACGAAAAGCAGCAAAGTCGACCCCATTGGTCCCCACTATCCCCATATTCCTGAGAACCTCATGACAACTGTCTAAATAATCCTGGGGATCCTCAGAAGATGCACCGCTAAAAGTGGTGGTGAAGAGCTTGGTGAACCTGTCCAATCTCACAAGGCATCAGCAGACATAGCTGCTCCATCACCAGTCTGTGCTGCTGCTCGGCTGAAGAAGCGGTACGTGACCTCACCATCCGTGAAAGAACAAGAGTAGAGGGTTCAATTTAGCATTGAGAGAACAAAACCACACGATAGGAAAGAATAGATGTGAAGTTTTTCTTAACTCTGTATCCTCTAGGGGATAAATACAGACTTCTCTGTACCGATCCCCCAGACTCTACTAAGCTTGTCCGTGAATTGTGAGACCTAAGTAACCTAGAGCTCTGATACCAACTTGTCACGACCCGGATTTCCCACCCTCGGGAGTCGTGATGACGCCTACTAGTGAAAGCTAGGCAAGCCAACCATTTGTATTATTTATCTTTTTCCCATTTTAATCCTTTAATAATTAAGAACCAACATCATATAAACAACGGAATTTAATAAGCGGAAGACTGAAATGTAATATTTTAATAATGATACCAATACCAATTAATAACATGAACTACCCAGAATTGGTGTCACAATCTCACAGACGGTCTAGGAATACTACAAACAAGGGTCCGAAAAATAAATACAATGCTGTCTCTGAAATATATAAATGAAACAGGATGAAAGGATAGAAGGAGACGCCAAGGCCTGCGGACGCCTGCAAGACTACCTCGGATCTGCGAATGGACTAACGGCAGCAACCCAAAGCTAAGGTCCATATGCTTCAGTACCGGGATCTGCACAAAAGAGTGCAGAGTGTAGTATCAGTACAACCGACCCCATGTGCTGGTAAGTGCCTAGCCTAACCTCGGCGAAGTAGTGACGAGGCTAGGAACAAACTACCAAGTAAATCTGTGCAGTTAAATCATGTACATTGGAAAAAACAAAGGCAAAACTTTACAATTAAAGATAGGAAGGGGAAACATGTTGCGGGGAAATATCAAGTAACAACGGAAATCCAATAGATAAATGTAAAGAACACTATAACTAAATTATCAGCAAGAATCAGGAAATCAAAGACAAGTGCACGGCATCACCCTTCGTGCTTTACACTCTCTCACAAATATCATGCACGGCATCACCTTTCGTGCTTTACACTCTTCCTAACCCAAGCAACAATCACAAAGCAATTTGGGTAAGAGAATCAATAACATCACAATAAAATCAAGTAACCACAGAAAACCAGTAAATAAACGTAAAGACATCATAACTCAATTATCAACAAGAATCAGGAAAATCAAGGATAAGTGCACGACATCATCCTACATGTTTTTACTCTCGTCCTCACCATAAGAATCAATATAATCGGCACGGCATCACCCTTCATGCTTTTACCTCACATAATCATGGCACGGAATGATCCTTCGTGCATTATCACTCATATAAAGGCACAGAATGGTACATCGTGCGGCACGACATCACCCTTCGTGCATTAACACTCTCTCACAAAATATCATGCACGGCATCACCCTTCGTGCTTAAACACTCTCTCACCAAAACAATGCACGGCATCACCCTTCATGCTTTAACACTCTTCCTCACCCAAACAACAATCACAAACAATAAGGGCAAGAAATTAAATAGAATCACAATAAAATCACAATGAAAATCCCGGCAAGGGAACAATATCAAAAGCAACAATATCCCGGCAAGGGAACAATATTAAAAGCAACAACATCCCGGCAAGGGAGACAATATCATAATCCTCTTCTCTTTGTCACATTTACTTCACAACTCAATTTACAACTTGACCCAACGCTCTACAATGCTCAATTACCAATGATACTTTCACAATTCGATTCACAACTTGAGTCAACGCTCTACAATGTTCAAATACCAGTAATGCTTTCACAAATCAATTTACAACTTAAGCCAACGCTCTTAAATGTTCAATTACCAAATTTACTTCCACAAGCCTTGTTCAACAATAGGAATATCACATAAGGCCTGAACAATACAAAACGGAGTCACATTAATCATAGTATAAGACTCACGGGCATGCTTGATACCAACGTATAGATACTCGTCACCATGACTATACGTCGTACTCAACAATTAACACATTGCAAATAGGACACAACTCCTAATCCCTCAAGCTAAGGTTAGACCAAACACTTACATCGATGCCACGAACACAATTCAAGCCTCAACTATCGCTTTACCTCTTGATTTCACCACCAATTCGCTTGTATCTAGCCACAAGTTACTTAACTATATCAATAAATGCTAAATGAATCAATTCCAATGCATGAAAATAGAATTTCTAAAGTTTTTCCCAAAAAGTCAAAAATCGACCCCGGGCCCGCTTAGTCCAAACCCGAAATTCGGACCAAAACCTGATTACCCATTTACCCCCGAGCCCGGATACATAATTGGTTTTGGAATCCGACCTCAATTTGAGGTCTAAATCCCCAAATTACAATATTCTTAGGTTTTACCCAAAATTCCCAATTCCACCATGAAAACCCTAGATTCTAGGATGAAATCTTGTAAAAAGAAGTTAAGAAGTGAAAGAAATGAGTTTAAAATTATTTACTTGGGTTTTGAGGAAAGAAAGAGTGCTTGAAAAATTGTCCTTTATGTTTTAGGTTTCTGAAAATGGTAAAATAACTGAAAGGTCCCGTTTATATACTACTCTCAGACCCTCACCGCGGACCGCATAAAAAGGGGTTGCGGCCGCGGAGCTCCACCGCGGACCGCAAAATATCGAGCGCGGGCGGAGGTTTGGCCTTGCTCTTCTGCGGACCGCATAAATCCCACCGCAATCGCGGAAGCCCCACCGCGGTCGCGAGAAGCTCTGCGGACCGCGAAGTCAGGTTCAGAGACGTGCAACTCCTCTGAACCTACAACAGCTATTTGGCCAAAGTGTTATATATATATATATATATATATATATATATATATATATATATATATATATATATGCGCGTGTATTAGTCTTATTTTTCCTTTTATCTGTGACATTATATATGTGCTTTTTAAGTCATAAAAATTTTAAAACTTTTTACAAGTGTAAAGAATTAAAGGCTAGCCATGATGTAGTCCGTTCAAGCTGTAGCTTTTAATTCTTCTTTTTAGATCTTTTTCTTCTACATTTAAAGTCATGAATGTGAAATTAATAATATATTTGTCTAATAAATTCGTACCAAATATAAAGAACATTTATGAATTCTATAATTATTTGACACAAGCCCTATTTTAATTAATTTAGCACATTAACTAAATTTTGCTGCGCCGAATACTTTTCTCTCTCTCTCTCGAGATCTCGATCTCGATAGATTCAGCAAAGTTTTATAGCTAGTGGTCCAAGGAAACAAAAGCAGAATTTTTCTGTTCACTACAAATTAAAATGAATTTAAGTTATAATGTTATATGCAATGATGATTAAGTCATTTATAAGTTAATTGCATGTAATTTTTATAGTAATTACCACCAAAGGATGTGGTGCAACGGATGGGGCTGCTCTTCCCTTAACCAGAGGTCCCGAGTTCGAGCCCTGGGTATGGAAAAATCCTTGCCCTACGCGGTGCGAATCCGGATACAGTCGGACTCCAATGCAGGTACTGGACACCGGGTGAGAAACCAAAAAAAAAAAAAACATTAATAAATTGATAATCGGAGAAAAATGCTAACTAATTAACGCTAACCTGTTATACTATGTTAATTACACTTATCCTGTAAAATAATTATTTAATTTATGCGAGCGATGTATATAACTTAATTTTAATTAAAATAAATATGTATGTATATATAGGTGTATCCACCCTATATATGTCCTATTGATAAACTTTGAAACATTTAATTTTCAGAAGAATAGCCCACAAAAGCTTACTTGCAATAATAATGCTCGATTGATAGCATTTCTAGAAGGAGTTGACTGTACAAATTAAATGAGCTACTAATTATGTGCATGGAGTTACAAAAAATATTTCTAATTTATATACATTGACAGTGTAAATAAAAGTACGCATATGTTACACTAGATCGCTAAATTATAAAGTAAAAATACTCTTACATTATCAATATATAGACGTTAAACTCATATTAAAATTATTCAATAGTCATTGCGGTAGGCTACAAAAGAAAACTTAAAATGGTTGTTATTATATACTCCCTCCTTATTTTATGTGGACTTGTTTGACGAGCGGTTTAAGGAAAAAAAAAGACTTTCTAAAGTTGTAAACTTTAAACGTGCAGTGACATTTGTATAGATATAAAGGATAAACTGAAAAGTTTAAAATTAAATTATAAATATAAAAATATATCACTCATTTAGAACAAACTAAAAAGAAAATAGTGTCAGATAAACTGGAACGAGGCAATTTAACAACTATTGGGTAGGCTTGTCAACATCACACCGCTTGCAGAGGCGGTGGCATGATTTAAGCTCTATTGGTTCTACCATGAAGATTTTTTGCCATGAACCTATTGTATTTTTAAATATGGGTTCAAACCTATCATTTATTACAATTTTAGTAAATATTTACACATAAATTTATACTTTGCGTCTAAAGTATTGAGTTTAATTGAACCCGGTGTTGCAACTCTACAACCGCCTCTGACCCTTTGGGTGCGACCCTTTCTCGAACGCTACATGAATACATACTAATACTTTGTACACCGAGCTGTCTTTAACCTGTGTGTGGGTGGGGGGGGGTGGGGGGGGAGGGGGGGCTTATAAATGGACTTTCAAGCATATAAGTGGATTCCCTTCTCCCACAACACTTTCTCTACATTTATAAAGCTTTCAACTCAACTCATTTCATTAAGGAAAACAAGAAGAAGAAAATTAGAATAAGTAGAAAACAATGGCAGAAGGAGGAGAGCCTTCATCTGCAAGGAGAAAAGAAGAAGATGATCAGAAAGTTCCATTTTATATGCTTTTTGCATTTGCAGACAGAACTGATGTAATATTGATGTTGTTTGGAACTTTGGGTGCTATTGCATCTGGAATTTCAAAGCCATTGATGTCTCTTATTTTTGGTGATCTTGTTAACTCTTATGGGAAATCAAACCAATCTAACATTCTTGATCAAGTTTCTGGGGTAATATATATTCATCTTCCCTACTTCATTAGATTACTACTACTACTATTGTTATTTTCGTTATTATTATTATTATTATTATTATTATTATTATTATTATTATTATTATTGTTATGTTCTTATGGAAGGAGAGTCTTGAGCAATGGTAAAGTTATCTGATCCTATATGACCTATAGGTCACGGCAGAGGCGAAGCTACACTCTTGTAAGGGTGGTCAGAAAATTACACTGTATTAAAAAAAAAAAAAGGGAGTCCGGCACTAAGCTCCCGCTATGCGCGGGGTCCGGGGAAGGGCCGGACCATAAGGATCTATTATACATAGTCTTACCCTGCATTTCTGCAAGAGGCTGTTTCTTACATTGTATATATAAATATGTAAAATATTGGATTTTAGAGGTATATAATATATACTCCCTCCGTTCTTATGTGAACCTGTTTGACTGAGTACGGAGTTTAAGAAAAAATGAAGAAACAAGTCAAAAAAGGGCCCGGAGTATTTGTGTGGTTATAAAAGCTTCTCATTAAGCGTAGAATTGTAAGTTTAAGCTAAATTGTTACCAAATTTAGAAATAGGTCATTCTTTTTGGAACGGACCAAAAAGGAAATAGGTTCACATAAACTGGAACAGAGGGAGTATTGAACACTCTTTGTCGGAATTTTTTTTTTTATTTCTTTCAAGTTTGAACACCTTGGAGAAATTTTTGGCTTCGCCACTGGGTCACGGGTTCGGGCCGTGGAAGCAGCCACTAATGCTTGCGTTAGGGTAGGTTGTATACATCACACTCTTAAGGTGCAGCCCTTCGTCGGACCTTGCATGAGCGTGAGATGCTTTGTGCACCGGGTTGTCCTTTTTTATTAATACATAGCACCACATCAATTAATCACTTAAATCCAAATTTCTTTAGTCCAAAAATAGATACCGAACACCGGATGGAAATAATTTATTTTTATGGATGATCATAACTATTTTTAATATTGGGGTGTAATATTTGGATGATCAATTCAGATAGGAGTAAGAGTATCTAGAACTACTGAATCAAATAAAATTTTCCGTTCAGTTGAAATAGTTTTTTTTTTTTTTATTTTCTATAAATTTATATTTCATTTAATTTATTCCTTTATTGTAAACTTTGAGAAAACTAAATCAAATGCTCTACGTAATATGCAGATATCCCTTAAGTTCGTCTACTTGGCCATTGGTTCAGGCATAGCTTCAGTATTCCGTAAGTTTCTTCGAATTTTTATATATTGAATTCTCTTCTTATAAATTTTTTTACAAGCTACATAATAATGCTATAAATTATGATTTTATTTAATATTTTTATAACATGCCAGAAAAAAACTGTAGTTACGAAAAAACTATTTGATTTTTCAAGTAGCAATTATATGTCATATAAAATGAGGCAGAGGGGCCAAAAGAAAAAGAAAGAAATTAAAATCCACACTTAAACTATCTCAGCTACATGTAACAATTTGGATGATTGTTACTCATTCTATCGTATTGTATTGTTATCCCAATACAGTGTTTGTTTTGATTGTTTCATTAAAATTGGTTGTATCGTATTGTTAAATTCATTGTTCCGGAACAATAAAAAGTCCTATTTTTTCAAACAACCGATTTGGTGTGGTGGGATTGTTTCCTATTTTTCTTTCCAATTATGCCCTAACTTATTACTCCATAATTCTATTTTACCCTTTACCTTTTTTTTTTAACTCCAAATCTCCCACCTATAGCCTACTTTGTCTTCGTCCCTTTTTTTCCCGGAACTTCTGCCGCTTCCAACTCCAACGTAAAATTGCTATATTTGTTAGAATTTGCATGGATTTAATCGCTCAATCTATTTACAAGACATATTTGGTGATAAATTAGTAGAAAGAGGTTTTCTTAAATTATTTTTATGTGTAATTCTTGATCAATTTAATATTTAAACAATTGAGGGTATTTTTGTAAACTTATCAGTTACAGCACAATACAATACAGTCAAACCAAACAAGCAAAATATTATTTAACAACAGCAAACAATACAATCTAACCAAATATCGTATTTATAAAACGATACAATACAATACAACAAAATATAAAACGACGGGTAACAACCATCCAAACAAGCTGTAAAACTAATCATGAGTTGATAAACAGAAATATGTGATAAGCTATATTGCGCGGACTTTTGGATGATCCGACACGCACCCACTGACATTTTCAAAGAATCCGAACAACACAAGATGATAAGTAATCAAACGACTTTAAATTAAGCATGGGTTGATAACATGAAAACTATTAAATTACACTAATAGTGTGTGCGATTGCCATTTGCATTGTCAATTTATATAAATTTAATCTTTTCGTAAAATTATGTATTGAAAACAGTTCCACCAAAAACACAAAAAAGATAGCCGGATGTACAAGCCATCCCATATCCACGCAGGGTCGGGGAAAGACCCCGATCAAAGGAGTGTGATGTAGACAGCTTACCCTAATGCAAGCATTAGTAGCTGTTTTCACGGCTTGAACCTATGACCAATAGGTCGATAACTTACCAAAAATACAACCTTACCAAAAGCCATAACACATGCACATAACCCGAACTTCTTTATAGCATAGGGATAACACATGCACATAACCCGAACTTCTTTATAGCATAGGGATAGGTTTATTTTGATCCTGAATTATAACATTGGACATTAGTAATCCTGTATGTTCGCCCACTAACTGTTTGTTGAAAGTCCTAAGTAAGTCTGAGTGAGGTTTTTTCCCCCCTTCCATTTTATGGGTAAAATTTGTTGATCCCAAAAGTGGTAATCGAGTTATCTGGAATATATGTTGAAATCAAATGTTAAGAGTGTAAATTTTTCTAACATACTACCCATACATAAAGAAAAAGAGAAGCTATTTTTATGGAATCAAAATGCTTGTGGTTTTGCTGTTTCCACCAACAAATTATTCAAGATTTACAAACATGAAAGGATAATGGCTGTTCAAGGTTATATAATCAAAATAAACCTACACCATTATTTTAAGGCTATATTGCTCGGATCATCGAAAAATATCAGCGCACCGTGTTGGATCCTTCAAAAATGCATAGCTTTTGGAGGTTTCGACATGCACGCAGCGGCATTTTTGAACGATCAACAACATAGCTTTAAGGACTATTTAAGCTTCTCTTTTTTTTTCTCCTATCGGTTGAATCAGACGTGCATTTGGTTATTATATTGATCTGATGGAGTGAAAGATGTATGAGATGCAAAGTGATTAGTAAAATAAGCTCAAGAAGTAGAAGATGTAGCACCAATTTGATGAACAGGCCATGTTTAATGTTTGAACTCTTGATGTTTATTTAAACATTTCAGAGATAGCATGTTGGGTGGTAACTGGAGAAAGGCAAGCAACTCGAATAAAATGCTTATACCTGAAAACAATCCTAAGACAAGATATTGGTTTCTTTGATACTCAATCGGCAACAGGGGAATTTATTGAAAGAATGTCGGGAGACACTATTCTAGTTCAAGAAGCCATGGGCGACAAGGTTAGTTCTAACTCCCTGGTAACTATAATTTTAGTTGTATTTACTAAATCACAACTGTCTTTTATTACGCCCTGTGTCCTGTTTTATATGACACTATCATTGTTTTGTGGAGTTGAATCCTTTAACCATATTTTTCGAGCATTTTCAAAATATATTCAGATATAAAATATGTTAATTATAACACTTCTATATGGTTTCTAAATATGTAATTTTGTTTCAAAATATATTATGGAATTATTCACACACTGAAAATTAGTTGGGAGGATCCTTGTACTTTAAAACCTGTAATTCTTGTTAAAACGAATGGGAGAACTGTAAGTCATGGAGATTGGGGGAGGGCAGGGAGGGGGGAGCACCGACTTAAAGAAATTCAAAAACAAACTCCCCCCCCCCCCCCCCCCAAAGACGCCTTAGTCTCAAGTTAGCTGAGGTCGGCCATATGGATCCTCAACATCTAGATTTGAGACAACCAGTACATGCATGCTCATACATGGGGAGTTACTCTTGCATTTTTGTTTTATTCATTCGTAAAGACGTTGTGCTTTTGAAATAAGGTTCTTAAGCTTGAATGTGTTAGGTTGCGAATTTCATTATGAACATCTCAACTTTCATTGGAGGATTTGTAGTCGCATTTATCAAAGGATGGCTCCTCACTCTAGTTTTACTCACATCCATTCCTGCAACCGCCATTAGCTTTGGATGTGTGGCATTAGTCTTGTCCAAAATGTCAGGGAGTGGACAAGTTGCTTATGCAGATGCAGGAAAGGTAGTAGAACAAACAGTGGGAGGAATTCGAACGGTAAGAATTTATTCTAAATACATTGAATTATATATATGTGCTTATGAGCCTTCTAGTTTATTTAACCAATCTTCCATTTCCTAGGTTGCTTCTTTCACAGGAGAGAAGTTGGCTATAGAAGATTATAACAGTAAGCTGGAAAGTGCTTATAGTGCTACCATCAAACAAGCGTTGGCTTCGGGACTTGGACTTGGCACAATACTAACGCTTATCTTCTTTAGTTATGGACTTGCCATATGGTATGGAGCCAAATTGATCATAGAGAAAGATTACAAAGGTGGCGATATCATAAGTGTAATTTTCGCAGTTATGTTAGGTGGAAGGTAAGAATAAAATGAGTGGCTTTATGTAATCGATTTGATTTTGTCCTTGTGATTTAGTTATTGAACGAAAATGATCCGTTTCTATGTTTCAGTTCGCTAGGTCAAGCATCTCCAAGTTTGAATGCCTTTTCAGCAGGGCAGGCTGCAGCATACAAGATATTCGAGACAATTAAACGTACACCAAAAATCGATCCATATGATCCTAGTGGGATCGAATTGGAAGATATTAAAGGAGAAATTGAGCTTAAAGATGTGTATTTTAAGTATCCAGCAAGACCGGATGTGCAAATATTTTCTGGATTCTCGTTATATATTCCAAGTGGTAAAACAGCAGCCTTAGTCGGGCAAAGTGGAAGTGGAAAATCAACTGTTATTAGTCTGCTAGAGAGATTCTATGACCCCGAAGCTGGTGAAATACTTATAGACGGAGTTGAAATTAAGAAATTTCAACTCAAGTGGTTGAGACAACAAATGGGGCTAGTAAGTCAAGAGCCTGTGTTATTTGCGACAACTATACGGGAGAACATAATATATGGGAAAGAAAATGCTAGTGAAGAGGAGATCAGGAATGCAATCCAGCTCGCTAATGCAGCTAAATTTATTGACAAGCTTCCGAAGGTCGAAGCAACTTTTTTTTCTTTTTTGTAACATAAACACTTGAACAACTTTTTTATTTCTTAGATTCAACTAACATTGTGTGTATATATATTTGCAGGGGCTGGACACGATGGTTGGTGGACACGGTACTCAGATATCTGGTGGGCAAAAGCAAAGAATCGCCATTGCGAGGGCCATTTTGAAAGATCCAAGAATTCTTCTACTTGACGAAGCGACTAGTGCGTTGGATGTGGAATCAGAACGCATTGTACAAGATGCTCTAAGTAATATTATGGTAAATAGGACGACTGTGGTTGTTGCCCATCGCCTGACAACCATTAGAAATGCTGATCTCATTGCAGTGGTGCATCTTGGGAAATTGGTTGAACAAGGTAATACATTTACTACTCTCCTCGTTCTATTTTTGGACTAATGAGTATCGGACCTAATTAGAGGTCGTTGGCGCCTATATCTTTGTTCGGTTTCCGAATGACAAGTGTTTATACCCTTTAATATTACTTCCAGGAACCCATGATGAGTTAATCAAAGATCCTGAAGGAGCATATTCTCAACTTGTTCAAATGCAGCAAAAGACTAAGCACGTCGAAAACACCAAAGGAAAAGAAATTGAGGAACTGAACGCACCAAAACGTTTGAGTTATTCGAAGAATGTTTCTGGTAGGAGTAGGAGATTCTCTCTTTCAGGCCGGAAGTCTGCGAGCAAAGGATCAAGCAGTAAATTTTCCTTTGCATATGACTTGGGAGTTTCTGGTGTCGTTGATTTCCATGAAAGTATCCGAAGGGAAGATGGAGCTGGAACCAGTGAGTATATTGCAGATACTAAGAAAAAAGTCTCCACTCAAAAGCTAATGTCACTCGCATACCTAAATAAGCCTGAACTTCCCATAATGCTAGTGGGAACCGTAGCTGCTGCTATAAATGGTATGGTTTTCCCTGTATTTGGTCTTCTGGTATCAACGATTATTAAAATCTTTTACGAATCACATCATGAGCTACGAAAGGATTCTCGATTTTGGGCTCTAATGTTTGTGGTTATCGGAATTGTCGTCATGATTGTTTCACCTTTGCAAAATTATGCATTTGGAGTTGCTGGTGCAAAACTGATCCAACGAATACGTTCCATGACATTCTCTAAGTTGGTATACCAAGAGATTAGTTGGTTTGACGACCCTGCAAACTCATGGTAAATTTGCTAGTCCGTGATGTCTTAATGTTTTCTAAACTTCGCCAAATTTCTTGACACTGAATTTATTATTGAATACAGTGGTGCTATAGGTGCAAGACTATCTAGTGATGCTTCGACTATCCGGAATATGGTGGGAGATGCATTAGCAACATTAGTTCAAAATATTTCCACTATTGTAACTGGTTTAGTGATAGCTCTGATCGCGAATTGGATTCTTGCACTTATAACCATTGCTATAATGCCTCTTCTGGCTTTGCAAGGATATATACAGATCAAACTTTTGCAAGAGTCAAATAATGAAGCCAAGGTATTATATTCCTTAATGAACTAACCTTTTTCGCAGTTACTTTTTGAATTTAACTTATATACACTAAAGTTCTAAATAATATTTACGATACCAAGTAGCCCAACCAATTTTTTTAGATAACTAGTTTTACTTATTATGGAAAGGGAGCCTTGGCGTAAATGGTAAAGTTGCTGTCATGTGACCAGAAGTCACGGGTTCGAGCCCTGGAAACAGCCTCTTGCTCTGCGTACAATAGACCCTTGTGGTCCGGCCCTTCCGCGGACCCCGCATATACCGAGAGCTTAGTGCACCGAGCTGTTCTTTTTTTTTTTTTTTAAAGTTTTACTTATTATAGGCAGTTACCAGTAGTTATCTTTTAGGCGAACTTGATAGTTTAAAAATTCCTTTACACTGACAGTGTGTAAAAGTTAAACTCTTAAATTTTTGTGTTTGGCAGCTAATGAATGAAGAAGCAAGTCAAGTTGCAAATGATGCTATTGGGAGCATTAGAACTGTTGCATCATTTTGTGCGGAAGAGAAAGTGATGGAAATGTATCAAAAGAAATCAGAAGCTCCTTTGAAACGAGGAGTGAAAAACGGATTAGTTAGCGGAGTTGGTTTAGGATTTAGTAATTTCGTGCTATTCTGCCTTTACGCGTTAGCATTCTACCTTGGAGCCGTTCTTGTGAAGCATGACAAAGCAAAATTCTCAGAAGTTTTTAAGGTACATATCTGTAACTTTTTGGAGTTAACTTGTATGCACTGGCCGTTTACGTAATCAGTGTATTTTAAAATGTTACAACCATTTTTTATTCTTTATGGACCATTTGGAGTTGGTTACTAATATATCTCAATTTTTATGGACGATTATTCTTTTCACTGTCAGCGTATAGAAGTTCAACTCGTAACTATTTTTTGTTCAACTAGTACTGGAGTTTCCTACACAACTTAACTTTGCAGGTCTTTTTTGCTTTAACGATGGCATCGATCGGGCTTTCTGTTCTTAGCAACCTTCCCTCTGATCTGAGTAAAGGTAAAGGAGCTGCTGCATCAATAATCGAAATACTCGACAGCAAACCAAGAATTGATTCTAGTAGCAATGAGGGCATTACATTAGATGCTATCGAAGGCAATATCGAACTCCAGCATATTAGCTTTAGATATCCCACAAGACCAGACATGCAAATCTTCAGAGACTTGAGCTTGAGCATTCCTGCTGGAAAGGTATTTATTTTATTTCGTCAATTCTTTCATAGCCTATTAATGGTTTTCACATATAATTCTGTCAACACCACACCCCTAAGAGTGCGGCCCTTACCCGGACCCTGCATGAATGCGGGATGCTTTGTGCACCGGGCTGCCCCCCCCCCCCCCTTTTTTTTTTTTTTTTTTAAATCTAGCACTAAGAATGCTTAATAAACTTAAAGATTTTCCAGTTTTTGGTTTTTAAATCATTTGAAAATAAATCTTACTATGAATTTGCAAACTATTTACATGAATATATAGTACATGAAAATAAGAAAGTCCATCTAGTTCTCCAAGTAATTAATAGCTCGACTAAAATGAGACATAGGGAGCATTAGCTATTACGACAAGGATTCAAGTTATATACACTGACAGTATAAAGATTTTGTAAATGAATTTTAACATGTGATATCAGGTTAATTATCATTTTTTAATTTTAGGTTTCCAATTAGCATTTATCGAAGAAATTTATATGTAATTGCCTTATAACTGACCTGATTGTCTAAATGCATAGAACATAAACTCGACAATGTATTAAAATTTCTTGCAGACAGTTGCGCTCGTTGGAGAAAGTGGTTCGGGGAAGTCAACAGTGATAAGCCTGCTAGAGCGATTTTATGATCCCGAGCAAGGTAACATATATCTCGACGGAGTTGAAATTAGGAAGTTCAATTTAAGATGGTTGAGGCAACAAATGGGATTGGTAGGTCAAGAGCCAATACTATTCAATGAAACAATTAGTTCTAATATTGCTTATGGTAGAGAAGGAGAAGTGACTGAGGAAGAAATCATTTCAGTAGCAAAGTCATCAAATGCACATAACTTCATATCTTCATTGCCAAATGGTTATAAAACAACAGTTGGAGAAAGAGGGGTTCAATTATCTGGTGGACAAAAGCAAAGAATCGCCATCGCGAGGGCCATATTGAAGGATCCGAAAATACTTCTACTTGATGAGGCGACTAGCGCGCTTGATACAGAGTCAGAACGTATAGTACAAGAAGCGTTAGATCGAGTGATGGTGAATAGAACAACTGTCGTCGTTGCACATCGACTAACGACAGTTAAAAATGCAGATGTTATTGCAGTTGTTAAAAATGGTGTTGTTGCTGAGAAGGGAACACATGATATGCTCATGAATAATCCTCAAGGGGTATATGCATCTTTGGTTGCACTTCAGACAGGAACTGCTTAATTCAAGAACTCTAGCTTTAAGCATGGCAAAAGATTTTGTATTTGTTGGATATTATCCTAAAGTTTTTTTTTTTTTTTTAATATGGAAATGTTTACATTATTATCTTCCTATAGTTTACAATTTGCACAATGTATAGTGAAATAAGTCATTGTTTACAATGAAATGGACAGCATGAGAAAGTTCTTATATTTTTGTCCATACATTTCACTACTAGAATTTATCAATGAAATTAAATTAGCTGCAAGTTGACATGAAGACCATCACAAAATTTAAAAATGTCACACCATTCTTTTGCATATTGAAACACAACTAATATTGTAAAAATTATACAGGCTAGTCACTTTTCGGATCGGTATAAAAAATAGACAGTTTGAAAATTTGTTAAAATTTAATCATTTTTAAAGTGAAAACACTACGATCATGTGGAATCGAACTTATACTAGTGAAAAATCTCGGATATTGTCCTGATTTTCAAAATCTATGATAGTGTCATGGATTTCAAACAAAAAATAAAAATAAAAAAAGAAATAAACTTCATGATAGAAATCCAGGATACTCTCGGGAAGTTTCACATTTTAAAGTCCAAATCCATAACAATGTCATGGATTGTGAAAATTAACTATTTTTGTGGTTATCCTTCAATTACAAGTCCAGAACATGGAACACTGTTGACAGCTCAGTCAAACACTTTTGCCATAAAACTTTTACTGATCAGAAGATAGACCCTTTGATCAATACCACCCTTATCTGCCTAATTCCCAAAAACAAACACGCTTCTTCAATATCCCAATTTAGACCCATAAGCCTTTGCAACATTATATATATATATACATAAAAAATACATGTCATACTCGTAATACATATGGGATTAGGATTATTTACTACTATTTAACTATCAAACTAACACTCCCCCTCAAGATGGTGCATATAAATCATATGTACCGAGCTTGTTACATATATAACTAATACGAGGACCAGTGAGGGACTTGGTGAAAATATCAGCAAGCTGATCATTCGACTTCACAAATTTTGTAGCAATATCTCCCCAGAGTATCTTTTCTCTAACAAAGTGACAGTCAATCTCGATGTGTTTAGTTCTCTCATGGAACACTGGATTTGACGCAATATGAAGAGCAGCTTGATTATCACACACAAGTCCCATCCGACTAATCTCACCAAATTTCAACTCCTTGAGCAACTGTTTGATCCAAATTAGCTCACATGTCACCATAGCCATTGCTCGATATTCTGCTTCTGCACTAGACCGAGCAACTACATTCTGTTTCTTGCTCTTCCAAGACACCAAATTTCCTCCTACTAAGATACAACATCCAGACGTAGAACGTCTATGAGAAGGTGATCCTGCCCAATAAGCATCTGAGTATCCAATGATCTGCTCATGACCTCGATCCTAAAACAATAAGCCTTTGCCTGGAGCTAATTTTATATACCGAAGAATGTGGACAACTGCATCCCAATGACTATCACATGAAGAATCCATAAACTGACTCACAACACTCATAGGAAAGGAAATGTCAGGTTTAGTCACTGTGAGATAATTTAATTTACCAACCAACCGCCTATATCTTGCAAGATCGCTAAGAGGCTCCCCCTGTCCTGGCAGAAGTTTAGAATTCGGATCCATCGGAGTGTCAACAGGTCTACAACCTGTCATTCCTTTCTCCTCAAGAATATCTAAGGCATACTTCCGTTGTGAGATCACAATACCTGAGCTAGACTGAGCGATCTCAATACCCAGAAAATACTTTAATCTGCCCAGATCCTTAGTCTGAAAGTGCTGAAAGAGATGTTGCTTCAACTTACTAATACCATCCTGATCATTGCCGGTAATAACAATATCGTCAACATAAACGACCAGATAAATACAGAGATTTGAAGCAGAATGTCGATAAAATACAAAGTGATCAGCTTCACTACGAGTCATGCCAAACTCCTAAATAATTGTGCTGAACTTACCAAACCAGGCTCGAGGAGACTTCTTTANATCTTCTATTTGTGTTACTTGCAACCTCTGTCTTATATGATCATTCCTAATCTTATTTAGTTTTGTATGACCGTATACCCATCTTAACATCTGCATTTTTTAAATTTCAGAATCAGGTAAAGATCTTAACATCTGCATTTCTACCTAATATTCATTTTTTTAACGTTACCATTTCACAACTGTTTTAAGTTTTATAGAAGTTACCTTTTGCTTTGTTAGGTATCATTCTATTGCATACAGTCCTCAATTTAATGATTCCTATTCTAGTTTTATGTACCACATCTTTACCTATTATGCAATTCTTCTAGAACACTAAGTTTAAACAACTGAATTGTCTGCATATAGGCACCGCAATTCCATCCAATCTCATTTGACCTTTGTTCTTCTTATGGGTCTAAACTTGCTGTTCACATATTACGTCTTACTTCTACTTAATCAAGAGAGTATTGTTTATATTTTCATCTTGTCTCGTGTATTATTTCTCGTTTCATGAAATAATGTAATTCATTTAACTGAATAGTTTGGAATTCCTGCAGGTTTAGCAAAAGATATACATCTATATAGCTGATTCTAGTTGGAAATACCTGTGTAGGTCTTATATATGCTAGTAAAAATAGAAAGAAATTCTAACACACACACACAAAAGTCATAGGATCCTTTATATTAATGAAGAGATTTTTTTAAAAAATTATATAAATATTATAGAGAAATGTAGTCGAGTTATATAATTAAAGTTACATGAAAAAGTACTATATGTTTTCTTAAAATGGAAAACAAATTATTCTATCCGCCCCTTAATGTTATGATAACATTTTTTGATTAACCAGAATAAGTGTATGATAGTGAATTGTGATATAAAAAAAATAACTGTTTTAATTGATACACACATATCCTTTTACAAAGGTGATTAATATGAATAATACAGTAATCACTAACCAGAGAAATAATAAAGCTTAAAATTCATAACTAAAGTAAATGACAAGTATTGACAAGTGTTATAAATGTTATCAGTACCTCAATTATATGTAGATTCAAGCCTCGACCAGTTGCTATCAACAAGTGCAACAATATCACAAGATCCAAAACCAAAAATCCTGCAAAAATGAAGCATCAGAATAAAATGCTAAAGGAAAAACAAATAAATATATATTAAAAAGAGCGGTATTAGAAACAAGAGTAATTATAAAATATTGGTAAAAAAATTATCACTCACTCAAACCAGAATATATTTAAAAGAATTTCAGAATTTCCCTCTTTAATCATCTGATTCCATCCAGTCCCAATCAGTATCGTCAAACTCATCCTCCTCTTCCGATGTTTCTATAATTGTATCATTTGAATGTTGTGCATTAGATGGAATATCAACGACATCAACGGGTACGTCGTCTCTAGACCATCTAACGTCAGCATCAACTAATCCACTTAAGGGACCAATGTCATCATTAGGCTCTCTCCAAAATGCGTCTTCAATATTAGGGCAATTCTCTTCCTCTAAATCATACAAATCAACAGGGAGTTTATTCCTTGCATAATAAACATCTTTCTCAACTGGATCCTCACATAAAAAACTTGATAAACTTGTGATGCCAACACAAAAGGGTCATCT